CTAGATTTTCCCCTGCTTTCCTATAGGCCCCCTTCAGGTACTGGCAGGCTGCTATAAGGTCTCCCCACAGCCTTCTCTTCTCCAGGCTGACCAGCCCCAGCTGTCCCAGCCTTTCCCCCCAGCAGAGGGGTTCCAGCCCTCGGATCATTGCTGTGGCCTCCTCTGGCCCCGCTCCAACAGCTCCAGGTCTGTAGGGGAAATAAGGTTGTGTAGGTATTATGTTTGCATTGTAACAGATGGGAAACTTGCCACTGAAAACAATCAAACTTTTATAACTTTTACTTGATTTTGCAGTTAGGAGGGCTTGAAAGGATTCAGTCAAAAAGAAATAATTTTAATTTACAGATCTTTAAAACCAGTGATTACTCAGCGTGGTGGTGAAAGGCATGAGAGCACATACTGCAAAAGGTGCAAACTTCCATATGTTCTCCCACAAAACAGGAGGAAGACACACGTAGCATTTCTTAGAATGGCAGACACATTATGCTTCTCTTTTTTCCTTAGAAAAATGCATTCTGTTACTGAACTACCTAATTTAATAGTGCAAACCTCCTAAAAGTATAACTAACATATAATAAAAAACTTTAAGGGTTTATTAGTATTTCATAAGGAATGTTTAAAATGATTGTTTAAAAATCTTGTACCGAGTTATCTTTCAACTGTCTGGTACCAGAAGTGATTAAATGTGGTCATTTTTTTGTGTCTATATTTTATTTTTAATAAATAACAGCCTTTCTTTTTGTTCTCATGAAGAGGCTGTACTTTGACTTACGACTATTAATGATGTAAATTAAGTTCAATATGCCTCTTTACTGACTTAAGGCTCTGAGAGTGCAAGTCAATTACCCCACCTAGTGTGCAGTGCAAACAATTCATCCTGGACCTACCAAAATTACTTAATTTAAGCTGAATTCTGTATTAGCTGTTGTCTGACCTCTTAATACTATCCTTTCCTTCCCTTTGCTTAGAAAACCCATGCATGCTAGTAGTGAACTCATTTATTTAACACTGCAAAAATATTTCTTCTATTACTTATATATATACACTTAATGTTTACACCTGTGTACCTCTTTGAGGAAAACATCCCTGTACAGATTTCTGAATCTGCTATCAGCTTCAACTAACCCTTTGTGGATCTTTTAGCAGAGACAGCAGATACTTAGGCTTTTAGACCTGGAGATTGTTAACCGGCTCCATCTGACTGATGGAAGATCCAGCCACAAGTGTCAGATTACACTAACTCACAGAGCTGTTACCTTCATGGAAGAAAATAGCAATATTTTGTACAGTAATTACGTAGCTGTACTCTGTATTTATGCACATTCAGTAATATTACATTCTTGGATTGCAGAGAGCTGTGATGCAAAGTGCCTAGCATTACTTTCAATAGTAAAATAATACTTTACATTGTTATAGTGCCTAATGCTTTTACATGATTATAGTACCTTTGGTTCAAGATTTCCAAAGCACTGCATGACCACTGCTTAATTACACCTCAGCACACTGTACTTAGCTGTGTGGTAGGTAGGCAGGCAGGCAGGTAGGTAGGTACTATAATATCTAGATAGGTATAAACACAGCAGGGAACAGCTGATGCTTGGGAGTTCTGACTCCCAGATAGGTACTATTTTTGGTAGGAATACTGTCTCTTACAGCATATCTGATAGAGATCATAAAATAAAATATAAGCTTTCCTGAACTAGATAGGTAGATAGATTAGATAGAAAACTAGTCTTATTTGGAGCCTGTCGATTCTTTTCCAGCCACTGGAAGGGGTCAACATCAGTATGGTAGACTGGAAAAACAGGAGGATGGACTTCTTGTGCCACACAGTAAAACAGACAGCCTTTTGATCTGTTTCACTTGTGGTACTCTTTTTTCAGGTGTAATAGTCCTCCCTTTCTCTGCTTTCAGGTAGATGTAATATCATACCTGATTTTGTACTGATTGTTTTTACTTAGCGTGGCTCTTCTGTTTTTAGAATTAGCAGACTTCTTTTTTCTATACTCTGGAAGCTTTTGGGTATTTTCAGTTCCCACATAGTTTCCTGACTGCAAATTAAATAGTTCTTTAACTAAATTACGTGAGTGACTGAAGAAAATGTTCTCTCTACACCTGCCAGAAAGCTTAAGGCTGTTAAAAGCTGGTTTAGCAATTAGCAGACTATTGTTCCATGGGCTAACTAGTGACTCAATTTCTTTAAAGCATCAGCAGCACATATGTAGTACTTACATATTATTTGCTTTCTTATAATAGCTTTAAAATATTATGATAAAGCTATATCTTAACATTACTTACCTAACTGCATATTTAAGCAGGTTTATTTTAAGAAATAAAAGGGAGTTTTAATTAACCTTTGTCTACCTTGATATTGAGTTCTGACAACATAATTACAGAAATGGATGTGTTTTATTGATACAGTTTTCTTTAAAATTGTGCACATGCATTATCAAACAGCAGCTAGCCCGAATATTAATAGACTCTCTGAATGCAAATCTTTTTGTTCCACGCAGAAGCTGGTCACCACTTTTTTTGGAATAAAACATTCCGTATGGCCTAGCAAGAGTTCAAGCAGTACCATTCACTGATGGCGTTACCTTTTCCAAGGTACGGCTCCAGAGCTCTCCCTTATAAAACCAGTCCCGCCTCCAGGATGGCCTGGTATCATTGCACCACAGAGATACAGACACCCCCCCCTAAGCTGGCAGGGTCATGAGATTCCAGATCAGCTTGTTCCGGAGGGGATGAACACCCTCAGCTCTCTGCAGGGTGGCTGTAAGGAATTCCACCAAGTTCCCCCTTTACTCCTTTCCATGTGGATTCTGGCCCTGAGGTAGAGAAGCTACAAGTGGTATTTGCTTATTGTTCAGACAGGTTTGCAGATGACCTGCAGAGAAAACATGCCCCAGTAACAGGATTTATTGACAGAGCCTTTGGAAGAAACTCCTAAAAACAAAGCAAATATTGCTTAATATTACATAAGTTCTGTGTTTTTTCCAACATATTTGAGTGTGCATTGGACCAGTTCTGCTCCATCTGAATTGTGAATGGAGGAGGAGGAGGACTTTGACGAGGTAAGATTCAGACCTTTCATTTTGTCCAAATCTACCAGTACCCCTTTCTCCTGAGCTCAGGAAAATGTACGTCTCCTCCTGTGGGCCCTCTCTGCCTTCCTGCAAATGTTTTTGTGACCTGCTGCTGTGGACTAGTGAGCTTGGACACCTCAGTGGAGTACCTAGGGAGGGGGAAAAGCAAGGTGGAAACACAAAGCTGGAGACCAAGGGTGAAAGCGAGAAGCGCTGCCTGCCTTTTTGCGCAGCAGCTATCAGACTGCCTGGCTCTATCATGGAAGATGGGTTATCTGAGCGCTAAGGGTGGCAGTTGTGGGCTTTATGTCGATTTTAGCTTCCATAATTTGTGAATGTGGCTATAAGAGCTTATAGTATTATGCCTTCCATGTGCTAAGTTCCTTTTTCACTCTGCCATAGGTACCAACCATCTTTCCTAGATGGTCAAACCACTAAAATCAAATCAAATCAGGTTACACTCAAGGAAACTGTTCTTAAAACTGAAAGGAAAGACCTGCCTAGAACTCCTTAAAGTGTAAATAAAATTTAAAAGACATCAGAGAAGTACATGTGTGTCTACATGCCCTTCTTCATATTGCTGTTGGGCTAAAAAGCGACAGCTGGAAGAGCCTGATGTTGCTACAATTTCACTATACACTGATAATAACTACATATCACATCTCTTGCTTTTTTATTATGATGAAGTCCATTAACTCCATTAGCCACTGATTAAATCCCAT